ACTACTCAGGAACGCAGAAAATTGACTTTCCGGTTCCACGTTGATTTTAACATAAAAGGGCGACTTCTTTTATTGTTTTGCCTCATTCCCCTCCACCCCCGGTCCTGCGAATTGAGGGCGCTGAAGCGTTTTGAGGTGAACGGAAAAACCTGCAGCAGAGCCATTATTCGGTCTTCGGGGCGGGCTGGTCCCGGGAACGCGGACCAGAGCAGGGAAGTCACCCTCCACACGGCCTCTGCCACTCACACCGGCGACGGATCACCCTCACCCACACCTCGACCTCCCCCTTTCCCGCTCAGCCCGGAACCAAGCGCGCCCTTCGGCACCTCAAGGTCACCGGACCGGAGGCGCGGCCAGGACAGCGGTACGGTAACAGCTCAGGGGAGCCGCGGCCGTTGCCACCGGCGCGTAGGCCGCCTGCCTCGCGAGCTTCCAGGCCCTCTCACCTCGCATGCTGGAATTGGAAGTCAGCCCCATGGCGCCGTCGCTCGCAAGGCGTGTGCACAGGACGCAGAGCACTAAGGGCCTCGCGCGCACGGCGGGTCTCTCGGCACCAAAAGCGGCCTAAGGGCGCCGACGCCGGGTCGCTACCGCGCAGGCGCCGCGGCAGGCTGGGCGCACGTGGGTGCGACCCGCCCCGTGAGGGGCGAGCATGCGCAGAGCTGTGAGCCGGGCCTTGAGGAAGTGCGGCCCGGATTTTGACAGCCGCGGAGGGCGGGGCGGGGCGGGGCGGTTTGGAGGTAGCGACTGAGTCTGCGCAACTACGAGGGGCGGAGCTCTGGGAACGGGCTGGCGGGCCAGGTGTTCCCTTTCGCCCAGGTGTGCGGCTTTCCGCGGGGAGAAGGCTGGTTGTCAGTAGGATCCTTAGCCAGCGATCTAAGACAGCGCTAAAGTCTTCTTGTTCGCCTCTCGTCTAATTCCACCCAAGCATAGGTTTAGGTTCCACAGGTTCCCGGCGATGCACACGGGAATCAAGCAGATCCCAGCCGCGCCCCTCCGCCGCTCGGGGTGCGCGCCTCGGTCCCAGTCAGCCACCCTGGAATTTGGGCCGTCGAGCTCGAGACGATGGAGGCCGGAGCAGGAGACCAGTTCTTACAAAAACATGCTTTTCTCCAAAACCAGACCAAACTATTAGGATTATCTTCCGCCTCCCCACAGCGCTCCCCTAAATTGGTTTCTGTTTTCCGGCGAGCTCAGGGTGGGGACAGCTTTCGGGAGGAGCTGACCAGAGGCACGCTCTGGAGCCGCCTGAGCTCCCGCCCTGCGCCCGGCCGCCCCAGCTCTCCAGTACCTGCAGCGCTCACACCTGCGGGCCCGAGGCTCTCCGAGCGCGCCCGCCGGGGTCCCAGCCCGCTCCTGCGCATGCTCAGTGCGCTCGGCTGGGCGCGCAGTCGGAAGCGGCGGCGCTGACGCGGCCTGGAGCACGGCGGGAGGGGGCGGGGCTCGGGAGGTGGGGCCGCCGTCGCCGTCCGGCTAGGAGTGCGGGGCGCAGCCGCCGGCCGGGACTGGTCTCCTGGGCAGTGCCGGGCGGGATCCGGGAGCCTCTCTCCGCCGGGAGTTGGGCAGGGAGCGTCCGCGCCTCCGCGGCGCCATGGGCCCCCTCCCCGGGCCACAGCTGGCAGCGGCCGCGGGAACCCCCGGGCCTCCTGGCGGCCGAGCTTGAGCGACCCCCGGCTTCCCGGGCGCCCCCTCCCTTCGCCGTTTCTCCTGCCGCCGCCGCTCCCCCTAGTGCTCTCCGCTATGGCCATGGAGCCTCCGTCCCCGCTCCGGCTCGAGGCGCCCGGCACCCCCGAAATGCGGAGCCCGCCGGCTGGCGACGCCGCTCCCGAGGGCACCCCGCAACCAGCGGGCGGCAGGCTGCGTTTCCTCAACGGCTGCGTGCCCCTCTCGCATCAGGTGGCCGGGCACATGTACGGGAAGGACAAAGTGGGTGAGTGAGGCTGGCGCGGGGCTCGGCGCCCCTTCGCCTGCGGAGCCCCTGGGCGGCCGAGGCAGCGCTGCGCTCGCGTCCCCGCTGGGCAGCCCGGGACTGCGCGCCGCAGCCCGGCCTCGCGGCCCGGGCTTGGAGGGTCGAAAGTGGGGCGGCTTCCAGGGTGCGGGGCGCCAGCTTTTGCGGCTGGGGAGGTGGAGAGTGGCGTGCCTTGTCTCCGCAGGGGGTTCGGTGTTGATTGGAGACAGCATTCTTCGTAAAAATAGGGAACTTTTATTTTTACTGGATAGGGAAGTAAATTTTCCCTGGAGCTCAAGGTCTGTTTATTATAGGCGGGCAGCTATTGCAAAAGAAAGGAATGAAATGCAGATGATTCTAAATTAGTTTCTCTGCGGGGTGCAGCTGCATAGCTGGAGGGAAAGAAAACGCGAGGTTTGGGCGGGGGGGGGTCGTAGTTTGTCCGGATCTCTCCCTGCCCTTCGGGGAGGATTTCTGGTGTCTCCTGGATTTCCCTGGGAGGCGTGGTGTTCCACTAGTGTAGAACCTCGGACCTTGGTAAGAAACACACCCTGCTATTGTACTAGAATGTTACACAGATACAACACATTTTCCCTTTTATCTCAGTAAGACTGTTTTCATGGCCTTTGTAATACATTCACCGAATTCACGACTTTTAAAGCACAACGCGGGGCCTCCGTTTAGGAGGTGTAATTCTGGTTTGTTCGGAGGTTCCTTGGCCACGATTACGTGAAGGTTCTGACGGATGAGTGTGTGGGGATTGTAGATCTTTGACCCGGGTCACCCACTACAGAGGATTTATTTTACTGGTAAGATGATTCAGGTTTGTACTGGTAAGGAAGTACTGACGTTTTGAGATACGGTAAGCAAGGCCAAGCCTGGTTTAAGTGACAAGCCTGGAGCTTCAGGCAGCTTACTTTGCGTGACTTGGGTTTTCCCTGAATATTTGGCCGTGTTTTCCAGCCTGTATTGTGCTGGTTGGAAGTACACAGACTGAGACTGTGACGGTCAGGAAATGTTGAAAGAGGGAAATTGACAGCCTTTGAGTACACTGAATTAGGAAACACCGCAGCCCACGGTACTTCTCGGAGACATTTCCTCTTTGGCGTCACACTTAGTAATGAGAGTTTGAAAATGCAGTCACTTAATAAAGGCGTGGTTATACATTAATCAATTGTAATAATCCTTTCTTAATAGTGTAGAGATTGACCTCTGTGCGAAGGAGAATATACCAAAATGAGTAAGAGCAGTATCTGTTGTAACTGTCAGCTGCGTTAGGGATGCTTATCAAAGTAATGGTGACCCTGTTCACCATTACTTTGAATAATGGTGTTATCTTTGATTCATTACAGCCGTTCTCTCAATGTGGCTTTACGGGGAGGTGCTTAATTTGTCACCCAAATTGCCTAATTAAAGGAGTAATTTAGATTTCAGAGAAAATAGTCCTTAATTGTATTATTACATTTACTATAAAAATAAACCTTGTTTTCATTTTCATAAGGGTTTTTGACGGACAGTTTTACATCCTCCGAATATAATGCTTCAGTCTAATATTTGTTCATTTAGATTCTCATATATCTGCACAATTCTACATATATTGTTAGTACTGTAAAAGAACCTGAATTCTGATAATCTACCCTTGTTTGTAAAATACACAGCAAATTGATTAACAGTTCAGAGTTCAGCAATTTATGTCTCTCCACTGTCATAAGCATTTACAGTTTAATGTACATTGTTTAGCTCAGACTTTGGTTTGTCAACTAAGCAATTCTCAGTCCACTTTGTTAAAGACATTGCCTGGGTTTTTTTTCTCGTCATTACTGTGCTTAAGCAATGCTTTTCATTTCAGAATTGATATCGTACCTATTTTCATAAAAGGATTGTTGCTTTTGTTAGTGCCAACATCTGGGAGGCTGAGGCAGGAAGATCACATGTTCAAGCCCAGCCTGGGCATCTTAGTGACTTAAGGCTCATTGAAAAGGTTCTGGGTTTAATCTCCAATGGTGTGCAGACGCACATGCGCGCGGGCGCACACACCCACACACCCACACACACACAGGAGAAAGACATGAAACTTGATGAAATAAAGGTGCTTAAATAGAAAAATACATTTTGTTATAGCTAAGTAACAGGGTACGTTAGCATTTCTGATATCAGAGTTATAATTTTATGTTCTCTAGTGAAATCAGACATCGAAGTACGTTGAAGTCTTAGTTTTAAGAACACAGTTTCCGGTTTTGAAAATACTACATGGTCTTTTAGGAAAATAATTCAATTTAAATAATGCCTTTTCCCTGTTTTCTTTCTCTCAAGGTCCATCACTAATAACAGTTTCCTCTTAGACTTTTGTTTCTGGGCACATAAAAACGTTAAATGTGGTTTTTCATACAGATAGGTACATCAGCACCTTTTTGTCTATTACATAGTATAGTACATAGCTTTTATGAATTAGCTTACCATACACTTACATCTTGATAAAATTATTGTAAATTGAAAGTGCCTTTAATATTTCTAACCTAAAACAAAACAAAGCTCCTAACCTGCTGTAAATGAAGCACAGCAGTATAGCGTACGTTGTTAGCCTGTGGTCCTCATGACCGCCTTGGGGCTTGGTTTGCCTCCACTCTCAGCATCATAGGAGTGTTAAACTGTGTGTTATCAACTGGGAAAAGGTGAAAAATTCAAAATTTGTAGTGTGATTTCTACTGATTCCCCATTGCTTTTGCACTGTCATAAAGTCAAACAATTATTAAGCAAAGCTATTGAGTAGGTTGGAAACTGTGCTAAATTCTTAAAAACTGTGTTATGTATCCAGAGTAGATGAACCAAAATTTGCTTAACTTTTCTTTAGTGGTGGATTTTTTACCTTTTTTTTTTTCCTGTTATATATTATGTTAAATATTCTTGTATGTTGTAGGGTGCTATCCATAGTGCTCACTTGTTTCTATAGGTTTCATGAAAGTATAATAGCTGTTAAGCTCCCAAAGCTGACTAAAATGAGCATAAACTGAAAATGTTATAGAAGAACCACAATTAGTTTGTCTTACTGGGTTGTTGTTACTGAAATTGGTTGACTTCCAGAAAAGTTCTGAACACTAGAGAGAACTTAATATTTTGTCAAATTTATTTTATTATTTTTGTATCTGTGTAGGTTTTCCTGAACTGTATGTGAGTTACATACATTCTGCCACATATACAGTGACTTCAGTATGTAGTTCCTAAGAACAGAGGTATTCTCTTCTGTAGCCATATTATTTATTATGCCATATATTTATTAAGCATGAGAAATGTAACAGTGATGCAGAATTTTAATCTACAGCTTATATTCTCGTTTAGCTATTCATATGATGTCTTTTATGGAGTTTGTTTTTCTCAACAGAATCCAGTTCACATCATCTATAGCAGGCAGTTATGTTTGTTAAACTCCTTTAATTTGTAATGCACCCTTAGCCCATCTCTCATATGATAGTGTCGTTTTTTTAAAAAAAAAAAATGTATTTAGTACAGGTTCTACAGGGTCTCACTACACAGATCAGACTAGTGATCCTCCTGTTTTCAGCCTCCCAAGTGTTGGGATTACAGGCGTGCAGCTTGATGCCCAGCCTCAGTTGCTGTCTCAGTGCACCCCAGGAGAAGGGCTGGCAGGGCACACTGGGGATGGAACCCCAGTCGTCGCGCCTGCCTAAGTAGGCACTTTAATGCACTGAGCTATCTGGCTGGCAGATAGTGTCATTTTGAAGAATAAAGGTTACTAACTTGATGAAATCTTCTTCACTTTGACTTTCTGATGGGCCTTATGAAATCCAGTTGATGTATTTCTGGCTGGGACACCATAGAAAGGTGTCTTTTAAAAGATGCATAGAGGGGCTGGGGAGATGGCTCAGTAGAATAAGCACTTGCCTGGCAAGCACAAAGACCTGAGTTCAATGCCCGGTTCCACCAAAAAAAAAAAAAAAAAAAAGAAGAAAAGAAAAAGAAGAAAAAAAAAATAAAAGATACATTGAGTGCCGGCCCACCCAAGGGCACTCTGAGCTGGCTGCTGAGTCCCACATGCCTGTAGTCTCAGCACTGGGGAGGCTCAAAACAGTAGTGTCACTATGAGTTCCAGCTCTGTAGTGAGACCCTGCACACACACACACACCATTGAGGAGCCTACAGGGTCCATCTGACCTGTATTAGTGGTTTATTTTGGTTATCTGGTCCAAGTGTGGTCTGGTTTATTAAGTACATAGTTAATAAATTTGGGGAGATACCTAGGATCATGAAGATGCTCAGGTTCTCATCAAACTTTATTCTAGACTTGGCAGAGATTTGGCATACCTCTGGATTTCCTATGGATGATACTTGCTATAAGAAATAACCCTTCTTTTATTGCTATCCTTGTTAATGCTCTTACCAGTTGGGATGCATGGACTCCTACTTTATAACATGTGTCAGAAGCGATCACAAAGCTTAGTTTGATGCTCCCAGTGATCTATATTTGCTCATAGGTAGCAGCCTTCCCCTCTCCTCCCTAGGCATTATTTTAAATTTCTTTTCTCCCCCCCAGCTGTTGAGTTAGCCATTTGTCTAAGGAACCCTGGTTCCTTTTTAGTGGGAAATGGTAGCTTTTAGAAACTAAGATCTGGGTGCCATGTGTGGTCATACCTACTAATAGTGGCCATCAGTGCTTCCACGTGTTCTCAGTGGATGGATGTAATTAATGGACAAATACTTTAGAAATCACTCTCATACTTCCAGTTTCATTCTAACTGGAGTCTTCGCTTGTTGGATTCTTGGTTTGTATTTCCTTTCCTCCACAGTGAGAAGCCTGACTCCTTTATTATTTTTTTCGATCTATAGTTTTCAGAACTTTTACAGCCATACTTCTACAGAAAACAAACCTAGAATGAAGAACTCAACATAAGATTTCCTTATACTGAGGAAATGTACTAGGAAACTATTCAGTTCTTTGGATTGTACCACCACTATTTACAGCAACA